TGCAGGAATCTCATGCTTTTCCTTCAAAGTCACTCAGAACAACTGAGAACCAACAGCCCCTCCCCATTGAGAATCCTGCCCACACATGGAACGTGGGGGTCTCCAAAAAGGTGGCACCACGACTTCTTCGGAAAACGCCACGGCACCGCGGAAGATATTCATTCATTCGACACGATGGGCCGCCACCAAATCCATCTCCAAAGGCGAAGGCCAAGTTGAGTGCCGAACTGAAGGCCAAAGCGACGGCCAAAGCGTTGGCTGAGGAGGCTGCCAAGGTGCGTCGAAGGATCGGGGTCGTTGGGGAGGGAGGATGAGGATCTTTAGCGACCCAGAAAACACCGAAGCGGAATTTCCAGTTGGGGGTGGAGGATCCCGGAATTGGTTGAAGGGCGGCAAAGGGAATATCTACAGGAAACCAATCGTTTGGTGGGTGAGAACCATGGGTTGCCCTTGAACCAAGTCTGGGAGAGAATCATATGGTCCAACCAGGAGGTTCTGAAAGATCAGATAATCGTTCAGAACCTCCTGGTTGGATCATGTCAAGTTTTGGCTGAGAGATGTTCATTATTGCTATGTTTTATGTTTTTCTATTCGGAGGTCTTGATTGGGTGTTGACCTCTCTTTTACAATATACTCCTTTGTGGCCCACAGCATGCTGGAAGCTTTCATGGTCCAGTCCAAAGTGCAGTATGCAGCCCCCGTTTTGGATGGCTGATCCGGAGATGGTCCGCCCGATGGTCCGCCCCTGGACAGGTTGTTTTCGCTTCAACCGTGGCAGCTTTGAATGAACAATCTACCGATGCTTTGACTGCGAACGTCCTCGAAGCACCGAGCCTTCTGTGGGCTGACATGAACGGTTTCGGTCTCGGCCCAGGCCTCCGCCTTGGTGCTGGCCCACCAAGCAGCACAGCAAATGGCCGAAGAAGAAGCGGAAGCCAAAGCCAAAGCCTTGGCAGAAGCCCAGGCGGTCGGAGGTCTCAGCTGAATTCATGTTCCGGATGGGAGGGACATGGGCTGTGAAGGCATTGAGAGCTACGACTACGTAGAAGGTTCCGGGTTTTGTGCCACTCCAGATTCAGGTGTGGAGGGTGGAACTTCCAGAAAGGAGGCCATACACGTGCTGTCCTCAGATAACACCATTTTGCTTCATTGGGTTATGGAAATAGGAATTAGATAATGATATCAATACTGATATCAATCTACTACATTTAGAATACGACATTAGATAGTATGAACATATTCTGGACATGTGGATGATATTTGTATCATCCAATCGTATTCATAGAGCTGACGTGTTCATGCTTCGCTGGTTCACGCCAGGGCCGGAATGATCCGGATCCGCTTTCAGCGGAAAGACAAAACAATCGTATTCATGTATTTGGGGATCTAAAAACGTGGTATAGGATTCAAAAAGAAGTGGTGGGAACTCGCGATTATGAACACAACAAATACAATACAACAACCACTGAACAACGATACGAAAGAGTGGTCCAGTCCCTTCTCAGGTGTGATGCCCATTTGTTGCTTATTGAGTACTAAGTACTACTTGTTTGGATATATATATATGTATATGTAAGCCGTGCTCACTACCTCTACCACGTCAGGTTGGCAAGGCAAAGAACATGGTCAGGGCTGGATCAGAGACGGAGGCTGGAGAGACCCGACGGTCGGAACTCAGCACCGCACGGAAGGCGGCCACCGTTTGGGAGATGCCTTTTCGTTTTCGGAAGGCGTTCTGGAGGGCTCTAGGGTCTCCCATTTGGGGTCTTGATGGGGGGTGGCCCCTGCGTTTCTTCCTGATTTCCCCTGATGCCAAAAACCTGCCACCCTCATGGGTTTGAACATGTTAAAGAGCTTCTAGCTCTTGGTCCGGATCCACAGGGGCTCTACGACCATGACACCCCCCAGTGATGGATGGTTGAGTGGTTTAACCATCCTAATAAGTGTTGGTCGTAGCTCACATCATGTAAGCGGAAAACCACCTGTTTGGTATTCGACAATGGTTATCCAGGGGCCATGCCATCCACTTCCATGATTCTTTCAAGAAGTGTATCGATTGTCTACTCGATGTTCCCTTCGCATGAGCTCCGCTGACGGTCGCAGACCGTGATGAAGCACCTCGCTCGTCTAAGTCTCAGCGGAGAGTTTTGTGCTTGTGAAGGATTCGAGCAGAATTCAGGGATAAAGGAGGTCCTCTTAAATCGAGTTGTGAGCCAATCCTTGGAGAATGCTCAGAAATGAGTACCCAAAGATACCCAAAGGGTTCAGGACCATGCTGAGGATGTCCTTTGACCCCAAAGACCATTCTGTGGAAGTACTTTCACCTGCAAGACCATGTTCAGGAGGTACCTGGACCTATGGGGTACCAAAATGATTGAAGACGATCTGTTGAGGAAAGGTTTCGTGGGAGTTCAGGACGATGTTTTG